CTTACTGAGGCCAGGTTTACACGCGTACCGTTGAGCAAAAACATAAGCACAAGAGCGCTCACATGTGTTGCGCCTATCTTTGATTCACGTTTTGCTTATGTTAGTGCGTGTTTATTCTCTGCAAACCAGCGTTTTTAAACGCCTTTTTGAAATCTTTTTTAAAACGTCACAGCCTATCTTTTGTACACGATTTGTATTGTTAAATGTCACTTATTATTTCAGTTGTTTCATATCTTTATATCTTCCTTTAAGGCCTTCTCTGGTCACTGGCCCTTACATGTTTGAGGCGCCGGGATAAACCACAAAAAAGGCTCACTGTAACAATCTTAGGTCACCCAACCAGTATGATCGCAGGGGTATGATAACGCTACTTTTTGAACAAGTTATGGGATAAAGGAGTCGCTGGTCTTTACCGAGCTACCTCGAGCAAAGATTACGAGAGTTTCGTTAATGAGTATATGAGAGTTTCTTTATAAATAGCAGCGTATGTCCCATACATGGCCAGTTCAAAGTCGTGCATTAATCGTATCGTATCTCCTTGTTGCAACATAATCCAGTACCGAATCATTAAAATAGTCGTTGACAATGATACGAGCTGGTTAGTAGTTTAATACTCTTGGTAAAGAATTTTAAATGCCTTTGATAAAGCCACTACCTGAGGGGGGTCTGGGACTAATAAGGAACTATACCAACAGTGTCGAAAGGGATTTTCACCCGGCGTTGTTTTGAAGGAAAACTAGCATTCTGAGCAGAATATTTCTGATTAAAGTAAAATGGGGGATGGGGAGAGAGAGAGAGCAGAATTAAGAAGAGAAGGACGGGTTAGGGGTGAAGAGTAGTAAGAGTCTAACGCACTACAGTTGAACCCCGCCTTATAACCACCACCTTATTACGGCCACTTTTTCATGACGCGGTGAAACACCCATACATTCATTTCCCTATTAAAAAACTTCGTTAATACGGCCAACGGCCACATTCTGAAATCCCAACCTGTATAATCCTTTATAATTTTACGCTGTTTATATGGCCACTCGAACGAGTTATGTTCATTTTTCCATTAATATTTCACACTGGTTTAAGTTTCTTTTTTTTTTAAAAAAAAAAAAAAAAAATGTATATCCACATTCCAGTTGTTTAGTAGTGCAATTGTGTTATATCTGTTAACACGTCGACACACTCAATTTAGACGAGTCGTAACGTTTGACCTTACCCCGTGAATACAGCCACTCCGTTTATACCGCCAGCCAAATTTCAGGGCCCTTTGGTGACCGTGTTAACCAGGATCTTCTGTAGCAGTATCAAGACGTGGGAGGTATCAGTGTTACTCGGGGAGTTAAAGAAAATAGATGCTTCCCAGGGACGTGACGGAATAGAGAACACTGGATGGGTGAGGTAAAAAGAAAGAGGAGAGAAGCAGGAGAGAAAGCGGAAGATAAGGAAATTTCTGAGCAGCAGATACGATACATTGCAAATAAGTGCGAGAAAGCTTGAACCCGGGTATATATACGTACTGGACATAAAATTTTGAAAAGGTCAGTGTCATCCTTTTTTGTTTCGCCATAAAGCGTCATTTACAGGTATGAAGAAAAAAATTTGCCTTTACCCTAACAATAAGTCAGATTGCATCGTACAATGTTTAAAAATGGCCATGCCTTTTAAAGTCGTTCATGCGTGTGTAGGGCACAGTAGGCAGTCAAGAGCTTGGTGCAACTCTTTAAACGTGCGCTTCTTACACGTAGCTTTGGTACAAAGACTATGTTTTAATTTGCATAAGTAAATACATACATTATTATTTCCTGTGGTTATTTTATGGTTTAACCAAAAATCGGTGAGCCAGCCACTTGTGTTTCTACAATTAAAATACAGTGAGATACAAGAATTTCTGAAACAACACGACAATACTACAGCGTATATAACTACTGGACTTACATGAATTCTTACGTACACAAAAACTAACTACAGTAGCTCACTATTGTGAATCGAATCGTGAATGCAGTGAGTAGATCTTGCATTGAAAGCCTTTAAAAGCAGCACAACGGACGATCGAAACGGGCTGAAAAGTTGATGATCTTTCGATTTTTACCGATCACTCACACAACAGCACTGGAAATAAGGAAGCTCTCGAGTCACCTTGAGAATGTCTCCTGTAACTTAGCAACAACACTGGCTAAAATGATCCTGGGCTCGGATCACGGTCGACTAAGATCGAATCGCGTTGCTTTTTATGTGTAGCTGCCGCCAATTCACTATTACGCAATAGCCTCCTCCTGGTTCTCCTCTACCGGATTAAGCTGCAAATCGTCTGGGTACCAGCCATGCTTAGCTTTTATCAAAAGCCGCTGCCCAGCAGCGAATCAATAATTTGTGATAAATTAGAATAACTCTCTCTCTATTTTTTTCTTTGTATATTGGTGAGTCAGGAAGATGCTTGAATCACGTGATCTTTGCCTGAGAGCTCCGAGGTGATTGCCCCTCTGTTCTCTCCCTGAACGCAGGACTGCAAGCAAACAAGAAATCAAGTTAGTGCAAACAAATAACCAGCGAGGCTTTTTTTTAGTGTCGCATTCATTTGAAGCACAAGGAATGCCTTCAAGTGACCGAAAAAACCTAATTCTGTCTACTAGAGAACTACAAATAGTTGTAGATTAAAGACCTTTCTGCTGTGAGCTTCCGCACATTGTACTCTCTTACATCTTCTAAGTCTTTTGATCATAGCACTTTACACGGAAAGATTCAGATTTAAGCAACAAGGCCTTTTCCTGTTTGTTCTTAGGCTCAATACTATCCCTCTGCCCGAGGAATTCTACTGCTGGTACTGGGGAGGGGCATTCCGTTCCCCAGTAGGCTGAGTAGTTTTGTCCTCTTCACAGATCTCGACTGCCAGTTAAGCACGTTGCACTATAGTCGAACATTTGCTAACAGGTAACTCTATACAACGGCTAGGATTCTTACTGAACCCTCTTTGCAACGTCCAGTAAATTTTTCCAAGAATGGCCGCTGTTCAGAGGTTTAGCTGTAGTTTAATTGAGAGTACTCACCTCTTCATCTAGACACGACTCCGAAAATTGGAGGATTACGTTTTGAAAGTGCTCATCCTCCGTCAACTCAATCGAATCGTTCGTCAGCTTCGGGATAAACTGAGGTTCGAGATCGGACATTTCATCCGACGACGACTCCCGAGGCGAAGGAAGTTTATTCTCGGACGAGCTGTCCGAATGTGAGCTCCATCGCTTTCTCTTTTTCGCTTTCCTTCCTGGGATACTAATACTAGGGGATCCTGCTGTGTAGGGACACTCTTTACTAGTGTGCCTACACTCAGTTCGATTATAGTCACTGTCACTGCAGCTACAATGGGTCATTTCGTCAGTACCGGACCATGAATGGCCATGATAACAAGGTCCCTTTTTGTGTCCCGAACTGGACCCCTTAACGGATATAAATTCGTCTACATTCTGAGCCCCTGATTTTAATGTCCCTGGGGATCTCCGGCGTTTAGATTTGCTCAGACAGCTGCGACTTCTTTTTATCCTTCTGGCGTAGCTTTGCCTCTCTTGCTCTTCACTATCACCCTCTTGAGGCCAGAAGTTACGTTCTATCGGGCTGCTGGAACTGCTGGAGGTGTTGGGACTAAAGCAAAGGAAACGCAAACTATAAGTATACTGCAAGTGCCTGTGTCAGCGTCCATTACCTTCTTTCTTAATCTTTCACAGATCATAAAAAAAAGCAAAAAAAGAGTTAGTAAAATGACATGTGTAAACTGGGACCTCAGTCGAGTGACTATTTTTCCCGGCCATTTTTTTCCCTCTGACAGGTCTAATGGGTTACCCACTGTCAGTCATTATAAAGTTNAGCCCATTAACCTAGCTCACCGCTTACAAATATTAAATGTGACTCTTTGTACCTCTCTTACTCACAACCCACCCACCCCTCCCTTCTTACTTCCCTCTTCCCTTACCTCTGACCCCCCCCCCTTTTTCTGCCCCTCTTCCCCCATACCTCCCTCCCTCACTTACTCACCAGCTTGAGGACTGGAGTTTGCCAGCAGGCTGATTAGATAACACCTTCTCCACAGCATTTGCACGTGCCTTCAGCTCTGACTTAATTACCCTCTTCTTGCTGTTTACAAGTTTGAGTTGGCGCTCGCGCCTATGGAAAAAAGTCACAAACAAAACTTTATCACCTGATTCTCAATTACTGCAAAATTATGAAGCATCATTTATAGGTTGGCAACTACCCTGAGTCCTATCAGCAGAGTGACTTCAAAATTCTCTAGTTAAGGCGAGGAAGATCGAAGTGGCGGGAAAGATTGAAGTGGACAATGATCCAGAGAGCTACACAGTTATAACCATACAGAGAGGACATTCAGACATAGATATGAAAAAGATATGAACTTTATTTTGGAGTCGTAAGAATCATATTTTATGAACAAGCGCAACGAGCAAAACCTTGTTTTAACACAAGAAAATTGTATGGACAATCTCTGACTGTTAACACAAACAACCGTCACAAAGCATGAAATTAAGTCATCAATATCCTCACTACTGAGAACATGGAAAATATGCAACTCGGGTTCTGGATGTAGTTTTGAAAGAATTTCATGAGTGGTGTATTTTCCAAGAAAACACTTGTATCTAGCGTCTATATAGTAAAATATTCTAATGCACAAGAAGATTACGTGTAGATGCTTCTAGTACCACTTGCACTGTTAGTATTATTTTTTTCATTTCATCACCTGAGAAGTTCTCTTTCTCTTGCTTCTAGATGTTGCATGCATTCATTCAGTTCTTGATACAAATTGTTGGCTCTCTCCAGTTTCTGCTCATAGTGGACTCTGATGTCCCTAGCATGTCTGAAAACAAAAGATCAAAAGACATTTTCTCAGAGATTTGTCAACAATGTGTAAGGCTGTACAGGTTACAAAAAATATTATGGCAGCCAAGTTAAGTCTACACAAAGGTCATGCGGGTGACGGAGATATCTGAAGCTTATCTTCATTTGCACTATTTTGCACAGCATGAAGCAAATAAGAGTATTTATTTATTAGTCCCTTGGATAAGAAGCTACTCGATCATTGGATGGGTGTAGAGAGACAATCAGTGTTGAGTGTCTTGCTAAAGAATAGAATAATTATAATGGTCCCAACCTGTGTGCAGACCTGGAGACCTTGACCCATGCCACCTACATGTACCTTCTACACTCCTTTGTTTAACAAAGGTTTTTTTTCCTCCCCCTCTCCATCCTAAATACAATGTTGATTTAATGTCATATTAAGAGGTTGTCATTGTTCATTGTGGCTAAGAATATATATATATGGTACATAACAAAGTATTAACTATCGTTTGTCTTGATGTGATCGCTCATGTGGTCACTCAGTTTGTGACGTACGTGTAGATCGTTACCAGTGGAATGCAGTGAAAATGTTGCGATCTGCATCGCAAGTGACCACATCATGAGGCAGACTATAATGCTCTAGTATTAATGTCAGTTTATCTAGAACAACATAAATGTTTTAGGGATGGGAAAGGGTGTCAGTTCAAAAAACATTGTCAGCAGGCAGTATTACCGCAGACAAAGCTAAAGGTTCAGTCAAACCTTTGCTACCAGCCACCATAAATACGTGAACACCTCCCGTAGGTGGACACAGACAAACACTGCATTTTTAACCTCCCATAAGCCGACACCTGGTCCTAAGGGTGTCCACTTACAGAAGGTTTGACTGTACTTGATACTCCATGTAGTAACAACACTTTACCTTAACTCTTCTTTCCTTCTCCTTATCAGCTCCTCGTCAAGTTGTTGAAGCTGATGAAGGTTCTGCATGTGTGCACTACTTCTGTTCTTCATCTTTTCAAACTGCTCTTTGATTTCTCCCCTCCATGTAATCTACATAGTATAAAAACATTTTACTTTTTAGCAAGCAAATGACATTGTTATGTTGATGCTACACACCTTGGAGTAGAAGACTCTGGAGCTATCAGCTCTAACAGCATTAATGTACACTAGCTAGCGTACATGTACATAATGTTAATTGATGGGAAAACCTAGCATCTACAGTGGAAATGTGCTAATCCAGCTACAAATATCTAAGCGGCCATATTTACAGGGTGCCCGTATTAATGGGGTGGCCATAAGGAAGGGTTCCATTGTATTTCTAAAGGTAACGACTAAGAAAAAGAGATTTCTTAAAACATTCATAGCATCTTGTTTGGGAAAGCAAAATCTTTGAAAGTAAGTGAATTTCGCTAAGTTTAGTTAAGTTTTTCTTTTCTTTGTTTTGTTTTGTCTGACCTGTTTGTTGAGGTAAATTTCTTGCGGTGTTTTGAGCACATCCCCTGCAGCAATCTCTACATGAAGAAGCACTTGCTGAAATGATGGACGATTCTTTGGTTTGCTATTCCTACATGGAAACACAAGATTTACCTTTACACATGTATTTGGTAGTATTAACACATCAGAGAAAAAGTAAACAAGCAAATTGGATTAGCCAACAGGCCTTATGCTGATATGAAAAATAGGATGTTTGCAAATTTAATGCTGGGGGGAGGTGGTCCTGTGATAGACTAGAGTCCCATCCAGGGAGGGGGGGGGGGTAGAATTACTACTAGTCGCTTAATACTACAGAAACCTGAATTTATCATAAGCTCTGGCTGTATAGGCCACTGGCCTGATGCAGACCTAACCTTCTACCTTACATAAAATGCGAAATGATAGAATACAAATTTATTCTTTATGGCCACTTTAAAAACTACTGGCTGTAATGGTGATGGGGTTTCTGGAAAATATTATGTCTGGGATAGGAAAGGGAGTTTGTGTTTAGACTAGAATGCTGCTTGGCATGGTCTGGTAAACAGTCTGGTATAGGTTAGTGGCACGGGACCACACCCAAAAATTCACATTTAGTACCCTGCAGGACCATGTTCAATGTTATGACTGTTTAAGAGCCTCCCAAATTTCTCCCAGTCAATCTAAGATTGTATATCAAATTGTAAAATCTACATTAATTTATTCTGACATTTAGAATGATCGTAATGAAGCTTTTAACTGATCATCAACATTACCAGCAGAGTTTCATAAGCAGTTTAAAGCCCTCTGGACATGTGGTTGGTACTGGAAGATGTAAGCTGTTGCTACCAACACCCCAAATAATGGCAGATGAATCGACATCCTGTCATAAAATGTACAAAACAAAAGAGAACATGTAAGGAAAAAAAAATTAAATCAATGAATATCTTGAACATTTAATTTGCTGTTTCTCAGGGATGAAGCTAAAGACAACACTAAGGTGGTTCAGTAACAAGCCCAGCTGGCTCCTCTGGACTTTGCACCTTCAAAATTACCTCAAGTTTTTGTTTTCTTGTGAAATTCCAGCTGGTAAAATAAGCTGGCAGCTGGTCCTCAGCTATATCCCTGGTGTCTACGTAGATTTCTACAGTCTTAGGACTCAGTTACCAAGGACTACAAAATACCAAACATGTTGAAGGGGGGGGGGGNTAATAGAAAATTTGTTTAATTCCTCTAGTAGAACCAACGGGTGTATTTTTAAGGGAAAAAATGTGTAATTTGCACCTACCCTATATGGCATCTCCCCTGTAAGCAGTTCCCACAAAAGGACACCAAAAGACCTGAGTATTCAAACAGACAAGTAATTTTAGCTGGTGACTACATGTATTTAAACAATAGAGTGTTTATGTCTAGGAACTATCAGCTGATAGTTGCCCAGCGGAATTTGATGTTCTTGAAACAAATATTTACCCAAACTTAGCCGAAGCTTGGAGGGCAAATATGCTAGTTTTAAGAACATCAAATTTGCAAGGGGCAACTATCAGGCTGATAGTTCCGAGACATAAACACTCTTACTATTACCTTTATTGTTCACCACTAAATTTTCTTCCACATGCCAGTTCAAAAATCATATTGATTATTTTTAACCTTTTATAGATGACAGCCGTGAAAAGCCAAATTTAAAATTTGAAAAAGAAAACATGCAGACAAATTGTGTCTTTCAATTTTTTTTCCTATAAGGCCGCTTGTTTACAGAAAACTTTTCATGGACGGGTACTATCTACATGTATCCAGGTATTTTCCTCGGACAGACACTATGGGCAGATAGTGTCTCTCTGCTGAATGAACACTATTGCATTGCATGATCAATTTAAAAGACTAAGAATCTGAGAAAATTTAGTGGTAAACCATAATAGACTACAGAAATTTAGACTGCCATTTTATTGTTAGTAACTATACTGTAAAGTTCTGAAAGTAACCACCCCCTCCCCTCCCTTTAAGTAGCAATAAAATTTTATGATTGCTGTTAACTCCAGAAAGTTGCAACACCACAAAAGCCATTTCAAAATCTTACCACACATCAACTTTCTCTGAGCAAGGCTCATTTCTGATAACCTCAGGGGCCATCCAGGCAACTGTTCCAGCAAATGTCATCTTTGCACTCTTCTCACTAAACTCCTTACAAGTACCAAAGTCAGATATTTTAAGCAGGTCATCTTCTCCAACAAGGACACTACAACGAACAAAGGACATATAAAACAGTACAGT